GGGTGGTAAACCCGCCGGCGCGGCCGCGCGCTCTGCCGCACCCGCGCCGCGTCTCGGGGACGGGGCCTCTAAGCGCTCCTGCAACGCGAGTCGTTTGAAACGAAGCCCTAACTACTGCTTCTGTGAGGCGAGCCCCCCTGCCTGCCCTCCACTGCACGGTGCCGAGGAGCCGCTGAACCGGGGCTACGCGAGTTTCTTCTAGCTTTCCGTTTACCAGGTGCCGATGGCGTGCAAACGTAAATCGCATGCAACGTCTGTTCGATGGATGAAGACCTTCCGCCCGGGCCGTGTGCCGCGTGGGTTTCTGCCCGTGCCCTCCCTGTGCGCGGTTGGCAGCAGCGTGCCACGTTCTGTTCCAGCTCTTCCTGGTTGAGCTGAGTCCGGTATTGCTGCTCGTTGCCCCCTCCCAGCACCGCGGCCCGCTTGAGAGCAGCTGCGTTTCCAGGTCTCTGGTTTTTAGCTCCGGTGAACAGAGCGGAGGCAAGAGGTTCGGTCTTCTGTGGCGGAGCCGCTGCAGGGTTAGCTCTGTGTCTCTCCGGAGTGACTTTGGCCCAGCACGTACCCGCGTTTCATTTTACCGCTGACTGGTGTTTAAAAAAAATAAAACCACGGACTATGTGCTCTAGGTGAGCTGCTGCCCCGAACAGATGCGGTCGAGTGTTTGCCGGCGTGTGCCCTTGCAGTGCAAAGAGCTTTCGATGTTCACTCTCTCTCTGCACCAAGTACTACAAGTTGTCAAACCGGTGGCTTTGCTCTGAAAACGTCCCCGTAGAGATGCCCCCTTCCTACGTTCTCAGGATACGGTCGCCTTGCTTATTAGCTGTCTCCGGACCGCGACATGCCGAAGTTTCAGGGACAGTAAAACGTGATGATAAAGTGTTATGGGAGTTGCCCCTTTCCCCTGAGTTAATAGAAGACATTCGGGGGTGACTTTCTTTTTCACAGCAGCCGTCTGGCTTTGTGGCCCAACTCTCTACTTGACTTTAAAAGCGGGGCTCTAAGGTAAATGATACAACAACCAGGGGCGGCTCCATTTCCTTAGGAGCACTGGACTGAAAGGGACTTCCTGGTTCCCGAGTCCCCTCCCTGCTCCCGTCCCGTCACCCCTTGGATAAACAATGCAAGTTCCTTCTCAGAGCGGGTTCGGCCTGGGCTCGGCTGCCGCGATAAGTACACAGAAGCAGGCTCGCTCGTCACAGAAACGCTGCCAGGACCGGTGCAGAGCCTCGTGGTCTGGGTGGCCAGCTCGGCTCGTGTTCTTGTGCTGATGTGGGGGTTTTTTTAGCTAAAGTAGATCTCCCTGTGTGATACCGGCCCCCTGATGTGTTTAGGCAGAACGGCTGTATCTCTTGACGGTTGTCATCTTGCTTCTTATTTTCTCCTCTCATGAAATAAGCTTTCTGTTCCCTTCATTGCCCTGGGGACTCTTCTTTGCACCTGAATTCATTTTTTGAGCACAGATGAGCTCTCCCCAGCGGCTGGTCGAATGGTGGCACGAAGCCTTCCCCAGCTCTTGTACACACATCGGACCTGATACATCCTGGGATCTTGTTTTATGGCTCTGTCATATTTGCTCGTAGCCATCCTGTGCAATTAACACACCCGTGTCTTTGTCCTCCTCTGCCGTAAAGCACTGGGGGTGCGGTGCAAGCATCTGTTAGGGGTTACTGCTGTGATTAGCAAACAACTGCAGACCTTAGAGATGGACAGTAGCCGTTTCACTCACACCGGCCTTCGTGCACAGAGATAATGCTTGGTTCTCTTGGGGTGGTCACAAAGATTGGAGTCCTGGAGGATTTCTTTGCCTCAGGGCTGGCTCTTGGGCAGGCGAGTAGCGGACAGGGCAGCTGGTTTCGGTGAGTCTCGTCTTCCAAGAAGACATCCTGAAAGCTTGCGTCTCTGGCCATGTCCCTTCCTAAGAGCTTCAGCCTGCAGTGCACTTTGTAAAGAACCACCTGGGGCCCTGCCTTCTTGCCCAGCTTTCCACCGTCAAGTGCTTGCTTTCAAAATGTTTTGCTCTGCCTTTCGTGAGCTTCTGCCAGGCAGTCGTAGAGGCCAGGAGGTGCCGCAGGCAACGTAGGAGAAGCTGGGGCTCAGAGCAGGCAAAAGAATGCATTTTATGCCTAGCCCACATGGCAAGGGGTGAAGAAGGGACTTTCTCTCCTCCCTGGGCTGGATAAATTGCTTTCTCCTGTTTTTTTCAGGGTTCCTGAGTGATGACAACCTACTGCTGCAGGGGCAAATAGATGCATATCTAGAATCCGAGGTACCTGCCCATGGCCGTCAGCTCTGGTGCAAAGATCCCTACTGCAGAGTCAGCAGGACTGTGAGCTGCACCGTGCATAGAAGAGGTGGGTCTCAGTCGTGGTTGGGGTAGCTCCTCTCTACGTTCCCTCCTCCACAAAGGCAGTTGGCCCGGAGGTATGAATACTACACAGTGCTCATGAAAGCTGCAGTGCTGTCAGTTGCCAACAATTATGTAGAAGTTCCTCCTCCAGGCAGGAACGCAAAGGGCAGGGCACTCAGATAACATGTTCCCAGACCATGCATGCTGCTGTATTTTTGTATTGGGCGAGAGTGTTTTCAGAGCATGTAGAGTCATGAATGCACAAATCGCTGTTGCTGGCTCTGTGACAAGTTGGGAGAAACACTGCCTTTCAGCTGGTCACAAATGAAAAATGTGTTGGGTTCTTTATTGCGAAGCCTAGCTGTGTGTCTGCTAATGTTGAAGAGTCACAGGGAAGTGCTGGGTCCCGGCAGCTGCCTGTACCACCCCCTCAGTCAGAGTCACAGAAACCCCCTGCTCAGATCAGGACCAGCCCCAACTACATCATCCCAGCTGAGGTTTTGTCTAGCTGGGTCTCAAAAACCTCCAAGGATAGAGACTCCACCACCTTTCTGGGTAACATGTTCCAGTGTTTTACCACCCTCCTCATGAAAGAGTTTTTCCTAAGATCCAACCTCAACTTCCCCTGCTGCAACCTGAGCCCATTGCTCCTTCTGTCATCTCGCCACTGAGAACAGTCCAGCTCCATCCTCTTTGGCCTCCCTGCAGGGTGTTGAACCATGCTCAAGTACTTGAGTCATTTCCCTAAGCCCCCTGCTCTGCTCCTTGCTACGCTGTCCCTGCTAGGAGCAGGGTGAGAGTTCTCCTTTGGGGGCGTTGATGAAGTCAAGTCACATCTGACTGCTAGTCTGTCAGAGCAGGCCAAGCCTCTGCCCAGTGCCTTATCACCTGTTCAGCTGCGAAATCTGTGTGAGGATGACTGGTGGCAGCTTGCAACCCTGTGCACGTGGCTGTGTGTTCGTGCTGTGCTTTCTGTTTCTTGTTGGCCACAAGAGCACTCGGGTCTCAGCAGGGTCCCTGTGCTGTGGGCACTGCGCAGACACGTAATGGAGAATGATGCCTGATGCTTTGCACAGATAGATTTTAGTCTGACCTGTGCTACATGGGTTTGCGTAACACAGGGTTGCACCTCTGGGTCCTGCTTCTGCCTCCACACTTAAGGCTGAGTTAGAGCATGGCCTTTAGAAGGAAGTGCCTCATCTTGAATGGAATATGTCACTGGGTGGAGACTCAGCCACGTCCTGGTTCAGGTGACTTGGTGGTTAATGACCCTCACTTACAGGTGCACATCTTTATTCCTAGCAAGGTTCATTTAACTGTGGTGTCAATGCCTACATGGGCAGATGGGTCGCTAATTGGCTGGAGGGCCACGCCCAGAGAGTGGTGGTGGACGGGTCATTTTCGACCTGGAGGCATCTGAGCAGTGGGGTCCCCCCAGGGCTCAGTCCTCGGGCCCGCACTACTCAACCTCTTCATCAACAGCTTGGACGAGGGGGTGAAAAGCACCTTGTTCATATTCGGGGGTGACACTAAGATGTGGGGAGAGGTGGGCAGTAGAGGAGAGGGACAGACTGCAATCAAAGCTGTACAGGCTACAGGGGTGGGCGGATGAGAACAGGATGGGTTTCAACACTGACAAGTGCAAGGTGCTGCACCTGGGGAGGAAGAACCAGCAGCACACCTACAGGCTGGGGAACTCCCTTCTCATCAGCGCAGAGGCAGAAAAGGATCTTGGAGTCATTATAGACTCCAAAATGAACATGGGGGACCCTGGGGGTCTTCAAGAGGAGGTTGGATATGCATCTAGCTGGGGTCATCTAGACCCAGCACTCTTCCCTGCCTATGCAGGGGGTCGGACTCGATGATTTATTGAGGTCCCTTCTGACCCTAACATCTATGAATCTATGGGCTGGCAGTGTAGGGACGTAGTCAGGAAGGCCAACTACACCTTGTCATGCATCCACAGATGCATCTCGAGCAGGTCCAGGGAGGTGATCCTCCCCCTCTGTGACACTGGTCAGGCCGCAGCTGGAGTACTGCGTCCAGTTCTGGGTGCCGCACTTCAGGAGGGATGTGGACAGCCTGGAGAGGGTCCAAAAGAGGGCCGCCCACATGGTCAGGGGTCAGCAGGGCAAGCCCTATGAGGAGAGGCTGAGGGACCTGAACCTGTTCAGCCTCCAAAAGAGAAGGCTGAGGGGGGATCTGGTGGCCATCTATAAACTGGCCAAGGGGGACCAGCGGTGACTGGGAGAGTCCCTGTTCCCCCAAACACTACGGGGAGTAAAGAGGAATAACGGCCATAAGCTGACTGAGAGTATATTCAGACTAGACATCAGGAGGCACTACTTCACAGTCAGGGCAGCTAGGATCTGGAACCAACTTCCAAGGGAAGTGGTGCTCGCTCCTACCCTGGGGGTCTTCAGAAGGAGGCTAGATAATCACCTGGCCGGGGTCATTTGACCCCAGCATCCTTTCCTGCTGTGGGAGGGGGTCAGACTTGATGATCTGCTCAGGTCCCTTCCAACCCGACCAACTATGAAACTAGCTTCTGTTTCCAGCTGTTGGAGCTGTCTTTTAGTCCATCTTTGGTGATACAGAGACCTCCCCACTTCTGACTTGCACCTCCTGATGCCATATCCATGCCCAGACTTGCCCTCTTAGTGACAGCATTGCTGCTTCTCCTTGAGTGTTGCTCTGGCATCTGCCTTGTCACGAGGCGAGGTGCGGCGCATCCCCATAGGGTTGCCCCTCTGTAGGACGTCGGCCATCGGCAGGGAAGCAGCACTCGTGTTCCTTAGCAGTCTGGCTCTTCCCTAAATCCAGCTGCTTCCTTCTCATCCTTCTGCTCAGTTGCAGGCCCAAGATGCTGAGCCGCCTGTCCGGGTTGGCGAACACTGTTCTGCAGGAGCTGTCGGGGGATGGAGCTGACGGGGAAGCGGAGACTTCTGCCCCCGTAAGTACGGTGCATCGTGCCAGTGGTGGGCTTGGGGTGAGCTGCTGGACGCCTGTGGGTAGCGTCCAGCAGCAAGTGCCAGGCAGAACCGCGGGACCTTTTCAACCAGTGGAACCAGCTAGCAGAGCGGGAGAGTGGGCAGTGACCTGAGCTGGGAGTCTGTGGGATGGTTTTGAGGGAGCTGTGTGGCCATCGGCTCTGCCCACTGCACTGTGTCTGGACAGTGGTGGGTGGGGATCAGGGGAACCCCACTGCGTTAGACTTGTCAGGCTCTCCGAGGCCGTGTTACAGTAGAGATACTCCCTTCCCACCTGGTTCTGGCTGGGCTGGCCTCATTCATCAACAGGGATCCTAGTTTTCCGTTTCCCACGGAAAAACAGAAAACCACAGATTTCCCATTTTTATCGGAGAAAACATGGATTTTCCCTTTTAGAAGAGAAACCCATGAATTTCCCTCTTTTGCAAAGAGCTCTGGAGGCTGGCTGAGTTCCAGCCTACAAGAGCTGTTTGCAAAAGGGGTGGGGAAACCCTCGATCCTGTGGGGAAGGAAAGGGAGGGGGGAAGGGCAGGGCCCAACACTCACACTTACTGGAGGCTGCCTCCGGCTCGCTCTTCTTGCTGGAGGTAAGTGGGGCTTGGGGGTTGCGGAGCAGGGATGGAGGGGAAGCTGGCTGGGGGCTGAGGGGGAGCGGGGAGGTTTGCAGCCAGCCAGGCACTCTGGCCGGGAGGGGGTTTGAGGCCTCCCCACTCTTGGCTGGAGTGCTCGGCTGGCTGGAAACCCCTGCTGCTCCTGTTTGGTTGCAAACCTCCCTGCTCCCTCAGCCCCCAGCCAGCTTGGGCACTCCCCAGCCGGGCACCCTGGTTGGGAATGGGGGGTTTGCAGCTGGCTGGAAGCGGCGGGGGTTTGCAGCCGGCCGAGCACTCGGGCCAAGAGCAGGCAGGCTGCAAACCCTGGGTCACAAATGCTGTGCTCCCTGCCCTGATGCCCTTTCCCAGGCTCTCCAGAGTGCAGCGTGTGCAACTGGCGTGGCAGGACACAGCAGGGTCATGCACGAAAGCAGCCTGCCGCTGCAAGCTCCATGCTGCCCTGGCCACACTTCCTCTGCGTGCATGGGAGCAGTGCACATCTTCCCTGCCCCTATCCCCCGCACAGATCTGGGGGGCGCGGGTTCCCCCCTGCCCCCCAGGAGGGCATGCTGCCATTGGGAGCTGGCCCTGCCCGAGCCTGCAGTGGGGTGGGAGCCGGCTCATGCTTCTGCTGTAGCAGCCGCTGCCTTCCGTTCGGGGCATGGGGCTGCAGACCCGAGTCCAGAGTAGGTGCTTGCACCACCTCTGGAGGGAGCCTATTCCAAGCCATGGGGGCTCGGATGGTAAAGAAGCTTTTCCTTATGTCTAACCTAAAATGGTCTTGGAGGAGTTTGTGACCACTGGACTTTGTCATCCCTTGGGACACTCTGGTGAACAGGCGTTCCCCCAGATCCTGATGTACGCCCCTTACATACTTATAGGTCTTATATACTTATAGGTGTTTCCAACTGCTCCTCTGATTTCTCCAGGTGCCAGTGTTGGAGTCGGCAATGGAAAGCAGGGACGAGACGCCCGAGGACATGCTGGAGCGTCTGGCCCACACGGAGCGCCTGGTTGTCCAGCTGAAGGATCTGATCCGAGAGAAGGATGCCCAGCTCCAGCAGAAAGAAGTTGTACTCAAGGTAGCCTGTGGTTCTGTGGGGGGCTGGGTGAGATGCCGCTGCTGTTTGCCAGGCAGTCGAGCGTTGGGCTTCCCCAGAGTGTGGGGGTCTCGTGTCTGACTTGGAAATACAAAGTCAGTGTGGCAACATGGAGCTATGGAGACATCCTTCTCTTGTGGAGGGAGCCATGGCATCTTCTTCAGTCTCTCTGCCCCTTTCCTTCTGCAGGAGGAACGGGAGGCGGCAGATGCAAAGCTGATGAAGTTGAAGCTTCAGGCCAAAGCCAAGCTGGCAGCTCTCAACAAGCACGTGGAAGAGCTGACGGGGCAGGGGGCATCGCTGCCTGTGAAGAGCCCGCCTGGCGAGCAGCTGGATCCCAGTAAGGTGGGAATGTCCTGGCTGTAGAAAAAGCTTTGGGGCAGCCTGCGCCTCAGCCCCTGATGAGCTGTGAGGTGCCCTCCCCCTCGGCGTGGGTTGGCACGATAAAATTACAGAATCATAGAAAACTGGGGTTGGAAGGGACCACAGGAGGTCACATTTATCCAACCCCCTGCTTGAAGCAGGACCAGCTCCAACTACATCATCCAGCTGGAACAGCCTGCCATCGGAGGTGGTTCAAGCACCTACATTGAACACCTTCAAAAGTAAATTGGATGCTTATCTTGCTGGGACCCTATGACCCCAGCTGATTTCCTGCCCTCCGGGTGGGGGGCTGGACTCGATGATCTTCCAAGATCCCTTCCAGCCCTGATGTCTATGAAATCCCAGCCAAGGCTTTGTCTACTGAGGTCTTAAAAACCTCCAAGGGTGGAGATTTCCCCACCTCTCTGGATGACCTGTTCCAGTGTTTTACTACCCTCCTAGCGAGAGAGTTTTTCCTAATATCCAACCTCGACTTCCCTTGCTGCAGCTTGAGCCCATTGCTCCTTGTCCTCTCATCTGCCCCCACTAAGAACAGCCCAGCTCCATCCTCTTTGCAGCCCCCCCTGCGGGGAGGTGTGAAGGCTGCTGTCAAATCCCCTCTCAGTCTTCTCTTCTCCAGACTAAATCAGCCCAGTTCCCCCAGCCTCTCCTCACCAGTCCTGTCCCCCAGCCCCGAACCATTTTCATTTCTCTCTGCTGGACTCTCTCCAATGTGTCCACATCCTTCCTGTAGTGGGGAGCCCACAGCTGGACACAGGACTCCAGATGTGGCCTCCCCAGTGCCCAATAGAGGGGAGGAATCCCTGCCCTCGATCTGCTGGCAGCGCTCCTACCAATGCAGCCCAGGATGCCGTTTGCCTTCTTGGCACCAAGGGCACACTGCTGGCTCCTGTTCAACTTGTCCCCCATCACCCCCAGGTGCTTTTCTGCAGAGCTGCTGCCCAGCCCGTCCTCCCCAGCCTGTCCCGGTGCATGGGATTGCTCCCTTCTCAGTGCAGGACTTTGCACTTGTCCTTGTTGAACCGCATGAGATTTCTTTTGGCCCAATCCTCCACTTTCCCGAGGTCTCTCTGAATCATAGCCCTACCCTCCAGCATATCTACGACCCCCACCCCAGCTTGGTGTCATCTGCAAACTTGCTGAGGATGCACTCTGTGCCATCTTCCAAATCGTTGATTAATAGGGTCATTAATAGATGGAGGGTTCCTGTTATTGGAGAGCATTTGGGTTTGGATCTCTGCTATTCATGTTCCTCCCATTAAATGACCCTGCAGGCTGAGGGAATGCTATTCAAAATGCTCCAGCAGGGAAGTCTCTCTGGAGCCAGAGTCCAGCTGCTTCTGCAGGATGCTGTAGTCTTCTCTCAAATCTGTGGCCTGACTCCCTTTGCCTCGGCCACGGTGTGGGGAAGAACTTGCCATCATTATTTTGTCTGAGCTGTAGCTGGGGCAGGGGAAGGGGGGAGGTGCAGCTGCAGAGATGACCAAGGTGGTTAATGAACTTGAAAGAGAGCAAATTCCAAATTGTTTTAGTGCAGCACATAGCTAGTTTGTGTAGCTCGCTGTCACTGAGGGCGTGGGCTCAGCCTTAGTAAAGGGTTATAGTAGTGCTGTAGCTGCGATGCACGAGGACCAACAAGAGATACTTCCCAGCACATCTTACTAAGTGGATGAGAGACATTTATATAGGTGCAAATGTCCACAGTTACATTCAAGAGAATTGCATGTTTCAGGGGCCTTATGTAAAAACTTCATCTGTGACTTAGTTATTCTGAAATTGGCTGTTAATGAGTTTTTCTTCATCTTCTGAATGACCTAGTATGGGCTATAGCTGGAGGTGGGATACTCTGTGAACCTGGCATCTCCCATTGATAAAATAACTGTTTCTCACACAAGGGAAATGGGGTTGATCTAATCCAAGGGTGTCCAATTTGTGGCACAGGTGCTACAAGTGGCACGGGCAGCTTCTGTACGTGGCTCTTGGCAGACGGGTCAGGGAGCAGAAAGCAGAGCAGCAGATCCGGCAGGGAGCAAAGGGCCAAGAGCAGAAGGCAGAGCAGCAGATGGGGGAAGAGGTTCACCATGATGTTCAGGAAGGGTACAGGCCTAAAAGGTTGGCTCCTGCTGACCTGATCTGTCTGGACTTCAGTGCGGTGTTTGATGAGGCTCCGCACAGGACTTTTATTATCCAAATGGAAGAATACACACTGGTGACAAGAAAGGCGAGAGTGGCAGGACGCTGGCTAGAGGCGTGACAGCATTCGGTCGTGCTGCCAGGTGGACTCCTGAGCTGGAGGGAAGTTACTAGTGCAGTTCCTGAAGAGACTTAGTATACTCCTTAATGATCTTGGCACAAAGAGTAGGAGGGTGCTTGTGGCTGGTACAGACCTGGGAAGCATTGCCCATGCAGAGGGAAGCTGGAGTACATCACAAGAGGAACTGGATAATAGAAACAGGAGGAAATTTAACAATTCAGAGTGTAAAGTCGTGCACTTAAAGGCTCGTGACAGGTCTTTCTGCTCTAGACTGGAAGTTGAAATGATGGGAGGAGAAAAGATGTAGGTGTGTAAGTCAATCGCAGGGTGACGACGAGCCACCAGCGTGACAGCCACAGAGCAGGCAAGTGCGATCCCAGGAGGCTTTTAGGCAAGACATTTCCAGTAGAGCAAGGGAAGTGTTACAAGGTGCTGCTGAGACTCAACTAGAAAATGGCCCGGGTCTGGTCACCTGCGTGCAGGAGAGAGGACCCCTCACTGCAGTAAGTGCAGGGACACATGAGGAGAGTCAAGGGACTGGAGAGCCCGCTGTTCATACATTCATAGATGTTAGGGTCAGAAGGGACCTCAATAGATCATCGAGTCCGACCCCCTGCATAGGCAGGGAAGAGGGCTGGGTCTAGATGACCCCAGCTAGATGCATATCCAAGATATTCAAGAGGAGGCTGAATCAGCTCGGCTTGTTTAGTCTGCAACAGGGCGCTCAACCTCGGCCCCCGGAGCCTCAGAGTCCAGCCCGTGCGGCTCCCCATGGGTCAGGAAATTTAGTGGCAGGGGAGCAGGGACCATTAATACTGCCGCCCCTGCCCGCTGCCAACTTCCCAAGCCCCACGGGGCAGGTCAGAGCTAGGCTGCAGCCCCTTCCCAAATGGGGCCTGTTCTCCCTACCAAGCAGGCCATGTACCCTCCCCTTGCAGGCCTGGACTGGGCCAAGTCATGCATCTTCCCCTCCTGTGGGGCCAAGTTGGCCCCTTTCCCTGCACAGCTGGATTGGGGCCGCACTGCCCGCCTCCGCCCTCTGCACGGCCAGATGGGGCCTTGCCATACCTGTCCCAGGCATCAGATTGGGTTCACCAGCCGGATCCAGCCCCTGGAGGGATTGGGCAGTGCCCATTCGGCCTGCTGGACAATGCTGGGCACCGCCTGTCTAGAAAGAGGTCATTAGTCGCGTTAGTGTGATGTGAGGCAGAAGACAGGGCAGTGTGGTGCATTAGAGACTCGCTCGTGCAGAGAGGGATGAATTTAGAGCAGCGATTCTCAGCCAGGGTGCCACGTGCCCTGCAGTGCTGGCACCGTGAGGTGTGCAGACACGGTTCACAAGATAAGCCCAGCAATTTCAAATAGGAATCCAGAGTATTAAAGCCATCCTGACCTGTTGTGGTGTTTGCAGCAGGAGATTTGCTCTGTTATCTTTCCGTAATCCAAAAAAGAGGGAGAAGTAAGAGCTGGCATTTTCCATGGGGACCTTGAGTCTATCAAGAGATGCCTCGAGTCTAAAAAAGGTTGAGAACCGCTGGTTGAGCGAGGCACAGCAGTCATGTCCCCTCATGGCCTCTCTAGATTTGCAGGAGAGGGTGATTTAAATTGAAGGACTGTGTTGATTCAGGAACAAGTGGGGCTGAACTGGCCACCAATGACTGCAGGCTAGAAATTAGAAGTGGGTTTCCAAGCATCCAAGGAGAGATGTCCTGGAACAGCCTTCCAGTTGGAGCAGTGGTGACGAGAAACCAAACTGGTGTTAATAGGGAGGCAGATACCCTTCTGAAGGGGATTATTTGACCCAGTTGCCTGAAGTAGCAGGGTTGAGCCCCAGCGATGCAGCTGGTCTCTTCCAGTCCCAGCCTGGTCTAACCTACTTGCTCCTTTGCCGCAGAGGATGTGTTGCTGCAGGGAGGTGATTTCTCTCTGGCAGATCTCTCGAGTGCTGGCATGTGGCATGCCAGAGGTGATGGCCGTTACTGGCTTGTTTTGGCAGTCATGGTGGGCACAATATATACGTATTTATTAGTGGGTTTTTTCATGCCAAAATGAGGCCTTATGTGAAAGCTGACATGCTTTCCACGTCTTTCTAGGCAAAACTCCAAAGCAGTGTGAGCTCCTGGGCTGGGGACAGTGACATGTCCTGAGCAAACCCAGGCTTCAGACTGTATTTTCACAGCACTGTCTGTACTTTGAGCTCTCTCGGCTCCACTGTCGGGGCAGTTCGTTAGCCCAGGGAGCAGCTGCTGCCGTTGCTGAGTTAATGGTTACACTTGTGTGCTCCCCTATGCCACGTGCTGAGCTGCTGCAAGTCCCTCTGCTCTGGCTAGATACTGCCTTAGGGCTCCCTGTCTCTTTGCCCGTGCCAAAAGTTGGCACCTCAAATTCCAGCAGACGCTGCCTAACCCCAGTCTGGTCGATAACTGTCTTTCTCAGTCCTTTTCCCATCAGGAAGATTTAACTGCCCATTGTTAATTAAAGGGGTCCCCTCTTTCACTCATTAGTGATAGTCGGGAGGTGCGTATGAGTTACAAGTCAAGGCAGCCATGCGGGTCTGATTGCATGAAACTCGCAGGTTGTAGCTGCACCATGGAGTGGAGAGACTTGGATAGCTGCTCACCGCATCATTTACTGTGAAATAACTGAAGACATACATAGCAGCAGCTAACAAAAGGGTGAGGAATTAGGGAACAGAGCAATAAGGAAGCAGGTTGCAGTTAAGAACAGCCCAGTACCCTGCACTCCAGTTGAGACTGAGTTGTTATGCTAGAGAGTGTTGTTTTCTCATTGTTTGCTTCCTTTCCACTCAGAATGACCAGAGGACGAATGAAGAGCACAGAGAAGAGGCTGAAGCTCTGAAACAGCAGCTCCAGGAGCAGGAGGAGACTCTCAGGGACTTGAGGGAGCAGCTAGCTGCAGCCAGAGAGAGCCAGAAAGACATGCAGGCCAACCAAGCAGCCCAGGTAGGAAGACGGGGTCAAGCCATCTAAGCACTCGCTAGGAGCGAGTCATAGATTCATACATGTAGGGTCAGAAGGGACCTAAGTAGATTTCATAGACGTTTGGGCTGGAAGGGACCTCGGAAGATCATCGAGTCCAGCCCCCCACCCAAAGGGCAGGAAGTCAGCTGGGGTCATAGGATCCCAGCAAGATAAGCATCCGAATGTATCTTGAAGGCGTTCAATATGGGTGCTTGAACCACATCTGATGGCAGGCCGTTCCAGACCTTGGGGGCTTGGACAGTAAAGAAATTCTTCCTTATGTCCAGTCTGAAACGATCTTGCAGGAGTTTATAACCGTTCGACCTCGTCATCCCTTGGGGCGCTCTGGTGAACAAACGTTCCCCCGGATACTGGTGGTCACCCCTGATAAACTTGTAGGTGGCCACCAGATCACCCCTGAGCCTGTGCTTTTCCAGGCTAAAGAACTCCATAGCCCTCAGCCTGTTGTCATAAGGTCTGTTTTCCTGACCCTTGATTATGCACATGGCTCTCCTCTGCACTCTCTCAAGCTTCTCCACATCCTTTTTGAATTGTGGAGCCCAAAACTGGATGCAGTACTCCAGCTGCGGCCTCACCAAGGCTGAGAACAGTGGGAGGATGACATCCTGGGACTCGCATGAGAAGCATCTATGGATGTAAGCCAGCATTTTGTTCACTTTACTAGCCGCAGCATCGCATTGCAGGCTCATGTTCATCTTGTGGTCAATGATGACCCCCAAGTCTCTTTCATCCGTAGAGCTAACCAGCGTAGCACTGCCAAGCCTATAATTTGTATAGGTCTCTCTGAATCCTAGCCCTGTCCTCCAGTGTATCTACTACTCCCCCCAGTTTGGTGTCTTCTCAGGTGTTTATAGGTATTTTCCACTCATGTGTCTAGGCGTGGGAAGTCAGAAACACACAGTAATGTACACACGTGTGCATGCACACTTTCCTGGATTATTTTGTCTCCTCGTAGTGTCTAAATGAGGTACTGCAACGTCCACTTCTAGACATGACACGATCCCCAGCCTTGGCTGGCCCGGAGGGACCCTAATGAGCAAACAGCACACTAAAACAACCTAAAACATAGCTGTCTACTTATCAACCTAAAGCAAATGCACCCATGGAAAGCCTCAGATCTGTGTTTGTCAGCAATGCTCTATGTGCAAATCATAGGATGTGGATTAAGATTCCTGGTATATTATTATTATTATTACTACTATATCCCAGCGTCTCCAAAAGGCATAGAGCTTAGCTTAATCAATGGTGACCCATGACAGGTGTAAAGTCTGGTCCTTGTTTCCCCATGGTTCAGAGGTGGGGACCTCATCCAGATTTGGAGAGGCACATTGAGCAGACACTTGTTGAACCCCTTTAAGGCTGATCCTGAGGACGGGGCATGGCCTATCCTGGTTACATCGTGCTGAGGGTGGGGGTGAGCCGGCACGCTGGATCCTTGGTGCTTTCTCATCATGACTTCTTTCTGCTGGGGTTAGTCCCTCGGTACCCTCTTCTCCACATAGTGCTTTTGCATAGATCATCAAGTTCGACCCCCTGCTGTGGACAGGAGAGAAAACTGGGCTCATATGACCCTGGCTAGGTAATCGTCAAGCCTCCTCTTAAAGACCCCCCCCACCCCAAGGTAGGAGCAAGCACCACTTCCCTTGGAAGTTGGTTCCAGATCCTAGCTGCCCTGACTG